TTACTACTATTGAAGGGATAGATAAGAAACGAAGAACACTTATGACGCATGCATGGTAGCGTCAGTCAGTACTTCGTTGACCTTACATCGACAGGATCGGTCACTTATAAGTGCAATATTAAACGTAAATTTATGTGAATTTGAATTAATCGAAATGTATTCTTCATAAACGAAAATGTTTTTTTGTTACATTTGTTTCGTCATGAAAGTAAATACATATTTTTTTGTTGGTGATAAACAAGTAGGTACTTTAATTTCTTGATATAATTACATTTTGCTATTTAAAAATAATAATGAAGAAATCATGTTTAAAGGCTATTAAACTTAGCCTTATCTGATATCACATTGTAATCTGGAAGATGAGTTTGTTTAACGCACAAGATAAAAAGTTATCAGAAAATCTAATATTTCATACCTACAACTATCAGTAAAATCTATAACAATTTAATAATCTGAATGACTTCGCACTGATGTCCCTTTATCGTGTAATTGTCGATTCATGTCATGTTTTATCAATATGATTTATGTTTTGATTGATTTGTGTATTTGTTTATCTTCGGCGCCACATTGTTAACTAGTTAACGATTAGTATATCTTCGAAATGCAAACAATCGAATACAGTGATTGTAAACAACGCGAGATGAACTCTTACAATAATAATAGTTTTATAATTTTGAATGCAGCAGTTTTTTTATATAGAAGGGAGCAAACGAGCAACGAATCGCCTTAAATTATTTGATCCGACGCCCATGGACATCGACAACGCTAGAGGAAGCGCACATGCGTTTCCACTAGCGTTGCGGATACTAACAAAACCAACTCCGTTTCTGCTGTTGTCGTCCTTTCAATTGTCGCAATATACACTAGAAAAGGGTGGAAAGAGGAAGAACAAAATTAGGCCTTTGGCGTGCACACTTGTGATATAAAATGCGGAATTACTACCTCTTCACGTGTCTTCTATATGGTCGTGGTATTTCACTGGCCAGGACATTCGTGCAACAGATGTTATTGCTTACTCTACCATTAATATTTTTCCCTAAGGACTTTGATAAATATTCCCTAAACGGAGACGGTGCATTTCATTATTATTACTAATGAAACTCAAGGTTTCAGTATGTTTGTAAATGATAAAAAATTGTTCTTTTTGTTTCTATTTCTCTAAATGCAATAATTTTTAGGACTCTGTACTATAAAAAGCTAAATGGCATATTATTGACATAGGTAGGTGTCACTAACTGTCAGGTAAACGTATTCTTGTATCATCGGTTAGAACAGTAAAAAAAAATTACGGACGCGAGATTCAACTTCACAAAAAATTTTAAACTTCAAAAAAATCTCTATTTATAGGTTGTTATGTACGTTGATTTATATTCATTTATGTGAATTTGGTACGAACTTACAACAGTTATTGCTTAGTAAGGAGAGGACTAAGCGTATTTAACAAATATTTTGAAAACATAGAAGAGCATTTCTCAAAGTATGCTCCCCGGAGCCTTGGGGCTACTTCGATTTATCTCCTATACTCTAACTCACAATGTGTTCCCATTAGTGTGAAGATCATTTTGAAAAGCGTTTTGTTCGGTACAATGTATTAAATTATCGAATATCCCACCCGATTAAAAAAGATTCCAATAATAAACAGTGATGTAACGCGATACGCAACGCCTGTCGCTTGTCAGCACGCCGTCGATATTTTCGTCAAGTCGCTCCCACTGGACCGGCAACGTGTCAAATAAACCATAAAACCATCTAGCGAGCACGCTCGTAACTTTAATACCAGACACGACGGCCAGTACTAATTTAAAAGAAAAATTCGTGTAACTAAAACAAATGAGCAAAATCGAATTTAAAAAGTTAAAAGATATCGATTTTAAATATGCAGATGTAATTTTAACATATTATTAGTCTATTACGCGATTAAAAAACGTTGGTTACAAATAAACGAATTGATAATATAGCTAATCTTAATAGTAATACATTATAGTGATTTTCAGCAGCAATGGAGATAAAGATGATTTAATCATTTAAAGATATAGAATTACAATCAATATTAGCTGTCGCCCGCGACTCCATCCGCTACAATTGAAAAAAAAATCTGCTTGTGTGTTCTTCCATGCTGTTCTACATCTATACCAATCAACGTGATCCATGCAGCCGGTCTGGATATACCTTCTAACAAACATCCATCGATCCATCCAAATATTCGCATTTATAATATTAGATGTAGTTTCCTTAATTGCTTCGATTCAACGAACTTGTAATTAATATACTTTAATGGAATTCAAGCAACATAAGAACATTTCCCAATAATCCAATTGTTGGAAGCATGACTCATGATGCGACGAAATACCAAAATTTAATTAATAACATGCATTCCGAAACACAAGAGCTCTCGTTTAAAAATCTAAATGTTAAAATAACAAGTTTTCGTAATGTAATATAAATATGACGAATGGACATTTGAATTATCACTTGCAACAGATAAATGATGTTACCGAAACTGGTTAATGAGATTAACTGGTTAATATGTTAAAAATATTAAAATTAATAATTTTTTGAAGACCTTACTTCATATAGTCATTTATATCGTAAGTTCTTTACGAAAAGTTCGTACTGTTAAAGCTTTGCTTTGGGTTATTAACAACAAACTAGGAAATGGAGGGTTTGCTAAGATTTTTATCATAATTTGTAAAATAAAAATCGTTAAAAATTAAGTATCATGTCATTATAATAAGGCGTGTATTAAATTCAAGTTTTAGAGAAGCTAACTACGCTGTCAACTAAGATAATGATAACAATGGGGTGTTCAATCATATTGTTTTATTACATTTGTCAGAGGCCTTACCAGCCACCAGTTTGACTGGACCGTAACCAATCGTAGCAGATTCGTGTACATGTGACATGTTTCGTAAGCAACTAATTTAAATGCGAGTAAACATTGAACAATATGAGAACGTTTACAAGGACATTTCCAACGTTTTACAAACAGACCCATTTTAAAAATAAATTAAATACTTACGTAACATCAGAATCAATGACCAAAATGTGTTTATTTTTTTTAATACGAACACCCTTCAGAACTCAACTTTTTAAAGGGCCATCAGTCGTATTTATGCGGGATAATTAATTGGGTCATTTTAAAACGTGGATCACCCCTATTGCATTAAATTTACATTATTTATTAATATTAGAACTATTACTTCCTTTTCTATTAACTATTTTTATTACTTATAATAATTTTGTTGTTTAGAATATATTAAAAAAAAGGTAATATTGTCCGAAAATATTAATAGATGGAGATAAATATCAGATTTTTAACGTTTGAATTACTTTATTACCTTAAATAAAATTCATTTGACGATCATAACTTTTTACCAAAGACTAAAATTAAGGTATTTTAAATTTTAATGAATGAAACCTTAAAAACACGTTCCATCAGCATAAAACTCTTGTAGAAAGAATCCATTCCTTTATGTCATGTCGTGGTCAAATCATAAAATTGGTCACATCAAGAAATGGCCAATACACAAATATACCAGAGAATCCCACATGATTTGCTTGTCTTGTAGAAAAAGAAATATATGTTTTTTGGAAGGCTACGTAATTTATTTTACACGCTAAATACATATTAATGAAATTATGGCCAGTCCATTTCGGAGTAACGGTGTTAAAATTCTCGAATCGTTCCGGCAAAAATGACACTAAATCGCTGCTGTATGACACGAGGTGTGAGCTCAACATCGCTTGGGTTAGGAACGTGACATGACTTCTAACAATACTCGGTTGCCTAAAAATCCTTCTCTCTCTTTGTTATATCGTTTTAAATAAGATGTAAAGCTAAAAAAACATTTGGTTTTCTTATTATGGTCCATATGATTTTTTTGGAATTCATTGAAGCAATATGGCGTGGAAATAAAAAATTACTCAATAATTATTTGTACCAACAGTTTGCTTTTTTTTCATCAAAATCATTAGTAACATTTATAACTAATGTGGATATATGTAGATACAGGTGGTACGTTCCTACCTATATACTATTCTTATCTGAATGTAGGTTTTGTTATTTACCACAGTACCTATTTGTTAATATTATTAACAGGAAATAAGACAGCTCTTTGACACTATTTTTATAGTGCTAAATACCTACATTTTTATTTTTAATTACTGTCAACATATCTAATGGAATTCAATATAATTAAGTAGTTAGGTCATTAAAATAAATGAATAGCTAAATTTTCCATTTACGTATCTAATACATCTTTTGGGATACCTGAATACAATTAAAAATAATAATATATCAATGCACCATAAATCTTTAATGCGATTAACACATAAACAATGTGTCAGGTCGGAGTAGGTAGGCAGTTAGTTCGCCATTCGGTAGCGGCGATAAGGAGTAGGTACGTGCATGTCGCTGGCGGCCTGGTTGCGACCGGTCATAAAACAAGGCTGCGCAGCGTCGAGCTGCGTACAAATCTCGTATGACTGAAAACGGTCGATGACTACGGTACCTACAATGAGTGGCGACATTCCGGCCACCCGCGGAATGTGCCGCGGCCCTACGAACAGGTTCAGGACTTGCGGTCCTTCTCATTACGCGCCCTCATTCCATTGGACGGACACAATTCACTCTAGTGATCACTAAACAAACATTCGTCTCCGACAGCTGTCCAATACCGCTCTAAAATGAACATTAAACCCGTTTGCCGCGTTCATTTCACCGATCTCTTTCGACTGCAACTATTTAACGAATGTCCGTAAATCACCAACGGGAGACTTTCTGCTTTACTTCGCTTTTCGAAACGAAGGATCGCATTACAAACACCACTGGACCATAACTCGGCGGGGCGAAGACAAAAATAAACTTAATATCGTGTGCGTTGTAGCATTTGTCGACGCACCAATTTACGATCGTCTCGATGACAAGAATCCGCAATAGACTCGGCCGGTAAATGCGCATCGCGGCATATTTAATGTAGCTTAACTAGACTATAACCTACCTTCGTCCAGAAGTCGTTCCATGTGCATGAAAACATTTGGGAACGCAGCCAGTTGCTTCCTGTCTTTGAGCAACTGAGCTAAGTAGTCCGCTATACTTTGCGTCGAAGGACTGTTATTATCACACATTTTGATTATTATTCTGTAACTTTGACACGTTAAATGTTTCTTTAGACACGTTCAATAAGCGATTGTACTTTAGTTACTGGTTATTGTTATTAATGTGAGATATCTATGTTAGAAAAGTTAACTTCACTACCACACACATCGACGTTTCGGTCACCACTAAATGACGAAGTTGACCGAAGTGAAGTTGTGGGTGAATATAGCGCTGCGCCTGCGCTCTCGTCGAATGGTTTTTTTCAAGCGCGTGCGACTGCCGTCCGCTGTGTAGGCGTAATAATAACCTCCGGTTGTCTCGTTCGCACTCGACTACAAACATTGTCTGTCTCTTTCAAATGCACGAGATTGGCCGCAAAGGTGTCGCCATCTAGACGCCACGCTCATGACTATCACCTATTACAACAACGACGTTAAAATAAGTATTAGATTTTATTGTAACTTAACATGAATCAATTAGTTAAAACATACTTGAGACAAGCCAGTATGTATCACTATGTACCCTGCACAACGAAAAACAAGACACTTTACAATACTCCTATGTATTACAAATGGGTTAATCCAATAGGATTTTATTTAATAAATAAAATAGATCGAAAATTTCATAGTACTTTTCTGTTAATAAATATCCAAAGAATGAAAAAGAATTGTCTAATAGGTATAAAAAATTTCAATTATTTAATATTCTCCTGTTTTTATAAAATGTTACCTTCTAATTAATTTTATATTGCAAAAAGATTTCTCGTTCCATCATTATTAGTACTTACCATTGAACAATCACGATTTCCTTGATTGTTTTTTAATCTATGACTATTGTTTATACATATTTCAGTTTATTTTATATTCCTCCGACCGTGAAGCAGATTTTATACGTAATATCGATTTAATAATAGAACAAATACATTTAACGCGTTAATTTTTGCTAATTACAACTACCGATATAATTTGATTCATATTTAATAAATAATCAATATTTGGATGTACAAACTTAGATTAGATTTAGATTTAAGATGTATATAGATATTTACTCTCGTCCGTCTGTCCATCAGAGCAGAATTAACAGAAAAAGTTAGTAGTCTATATGTTCTTCTATCAAATGTATGTTCTACATGTCTAAATTTCAGCGAGATCTACGCAGCCGTTCTGAAGATACCTTCTAACACACATCCATCCGTCCATCGAAACATTCGCATTTATAATATTATTAAGATAGACGATGGTAAAATGTATTATTTTGTCTGTGGTCTGCTAACAGCTTCAATTATAATCACTGTAATTATTATAATGCACGTTTCACTTTTTGCTGTTAATATGATATCAGAATTGAACATTAGCTTGCACAATAGATGCATAGTGTCAGGACTCGGGTTTTTACCAATAGAAAAACATAGTTGTAGCGATCGGATGTATTGAGTAAATAAAAAATTCTCATCAACATAGAATGCGGTTGGCGTTATGGTATTATTTATTAAATTTAAAATTAAAGTAATGCTATTAAAATTACTTATATTATTATAATATTTATCGTTGGTTTCTGAGACCAAAATATCTGTTTGAAATATCAACAATCATACCTGTCATTATCATTGATGAAGCAGAGATGTAGTAACAATATGTTTTGAATATTGTGTCTCGGAAACCCATGGTTAGTGGTATCGTCTACAAAAGACAATGGTTTAAAATAATCACCGAAGGTTTCACGAAATTCGTTCTAAAGTATCAACTACGATTCAGTCAATTAAAAACGTCGGAATTAGTTTCGTTTTATCAATTCCGTTAAAAGGATAAATGGATAATTGACCCCTATACTAAAGCTCGCCGATCTATCGAATTAAGCGGATTAAAAGAGTTCCACTCTATTTCGGAAACCAATATAAATGAAGATTGTTCTTACGTTAAATGTAGATAAAAAGTTAAGTCTTGATAAAGTTTACTGCATTTTATTGGCTTTTATTTGTTTTTTATTTTGTGGATCTCTCTTTTAAATTAATATGATATTGATAATCTGAAAAGGTAAAGGCTTACGTATTTTTGTAACACACATTTAACTAATTTACTTATAATTAAAAGCTAAAATAAAACCTCATAAGCGAATGCGCACGTGCTTACAGCTAAAATCAACTAAATAACGAAAAAAAAAACAAGAATTAAAAAAAATCTAAGTCATTTTATATACATTAACCTACATAAGGCATCAGTTCAATTTAATGCTACGTGTAACGAGTTTAAACATTCGAAATCGTTATATGTCAACATTTTTCGCAGAGACCGACCAGTGTTGCCATAAAAGTGCTGAGATTATGCGGCCCCGCGCCCTCTATGGTAGCTCGCTACCAGACTAATTATCCATGAGTTATGGAACTTGGATCTACGAAGATGGAAATAAAATCAGGACTCTAATACATAAATTGTAAGGCCTGTCGTACACAATACTACGCAAATCTCAGGTATTATTGTTCGATCCTCCCATCGCGAGTTTCGCGTAGCGGTTCGCACACAGTACATCGAATTGTCAACGCAAATTGTATATTCGGTCAGTACAGGCATAATGACTTTACCGCTGCAACGAATCTACAAAATGTCAACTGTATAGATTTGTTTCGCCATAAAGAAATTCATGGTAACTTTTTCGACAATCTTAAGAAACTGGCAGCCAACGAATGGCTTCAGATGCGACGGGTACCAGTCTACAAACTTCTATGACATTGTATTGCGTAAGTCGCTTAGAGACTAAAATCTCTGCCTATCAGAGATTATCTAGCCTTGTGTATGTAGTGCCTAAATATATTATTTTTTTGTAACAAATGAGCTAGAACTTGACCACAGGCTCACGTTATTTAGTGGTTAACTGATCTAAGAATGGTGTACAGTACCTTATTATTAATTTGCTCAATTAGTACATAATAATCTGCACAAAAGTACATAATAAACTAATGTAATGTTTTCCCTAACCTTGTACTTAGACTTAGTGTTTACATAAATATCATGATAAGTTATATTAGTACGTGAATCGAAAACTTTATATCTCTTTTTAGGAAAACCGCAAGGACAGATGATCGTGATATTTAACACAGTTAAAGTAAATGTGAAAAAGAACCGCATAAAGTTTTATAAAAAAAAATCTTTCATTGTAAATTTACAGACAAACTTCAATCAATAGGGGACTAGTAAACCGAAATAGGACATGAAAATTGAAGACAAAAAAAAAGTGAAAGGTCCAGATCCAGCTTAATCCTTTGCCTTAAAGGCGAGCTCATGTCTTGCATGCCGAATCTAAGTTAAAAGTAGTTAACAATGATTAAGATGACAGTATCGTAATCGTCAAGCTTGATCTGTCGAATGAATCATCCAGTCATGGATCAGAGGATACAATACGAAATTAATACGACGTCAATTCGTAATATATGTTATGTCCGCGTATGTAGGTTGTAGTGCCGTGCGCATTCGTTTTAGATCTTGTGTCGAAAACATTACGTCATCTAGAAGCTTCCGAACAAAGGTTTAACGTTTGACATTATCACTTATTAGGGTAAACGACGGGAAACTACTTTCTAAAATCTTTGTGAAAACTTAAGCTTTTTTCATACATAAGTATTATATAATATTTTACGAGATAGTTTAAAGTGAAGACCAATTATCTGTTCAAATTAGGAATAGCTCCTTTTTGAATGTCTTGGTAGACAAAAGAAAGGAGATCAGAATCTTAAGCCCATGTGTTTTTTAGTTGGTAATACCATTACATTATCACATTTAAAAGCTGAATCGTAAGATTGAACTATTGCTATTTTTATTAAGTTTTCTTTAAAGTTTATGTTTTAAGCTAGATATGTTGATGTCATAAAGAGAATATGACTCAGATGAAAGAATTTTCATTGCTCGATTGTATACATATCTTCAGTTCCTTTCTAAAGAAAAAGTGAACTTGTCGTTTACGAGTACCTGCAGCCTTAACCGACAAGTTTAATTTAATCAGGTGACCTTTTTCACTCATCAATCAGTGAAGTAAGTTAACCTAGACATTATAGCCTTCATATTGTGCGTCAAAGTGTCATTCCAGATTGAAATTCGAACTAGTGAACCTCTGGTTTTAATAGAATAAACCTACTAGATTGTTCGTTTGTTAGACATTTGTGTTATTGGAGTTGATGGTATTTGTTGAATTAATTATAATAATGCAATTAATGTAAACATAAACACATAAACAAAATGAGTGAGTATCTATTCTTGTTAATTCGATTTTAATAATTAATATTATAATATGAAATACAGTCTATGTAGTTGAAAATTTTAAATGTTAAAATTGTAAACAATTCCAGGTGGTGAGGAAAATGAAGATTCTTCACTAGATGTATACAAATACAGAAATGAAACTGATAGACAGAAGAAGTTTAAAATTGCACCAAGGATCGGGCGATTGTCGAGAACTCCGACAGATGGTAAAGAAAAACCAACAAAAACTTACGCGATATTACAAGAACCACGAACAGACTACAGTAACAGAAAACTTAGATATGTTATGTTAATATATTGCAATCCAGCATGGAAAATATTTATCCTCTCTGTTCTATTTGTCTCTTATATTTTAGAATCTTGTCTGTATACATTTTGTCGTAGACTAGAAAAATCTTTTTGGATCATCATACTGCTGTTCAGTTTGAACGCCATCTTTGCTATTGACGTTGTTATTATTTTTGGATTGAAATTCTTCAAAAAATGGCGTAAAACGCTAAATTTAATGGAGCCTGATTTATATCGTGTCATTTTAGATATAATTTTAGCGTTTCCATATTCTCTTCTCTATTTTATAGACCCAGATCATTCTCTGTTTGATTTCTATACAATATCGCCGATAATCGCGACAATACGTGTCTACAGAATTATTGAATATTTTTACGACAGATCAACACAAGCAGGTAGCAATCAATGGACCACATTTTTGGTTCAATATCTAATTCTTTTCGTGTTATCTGTTCATACTTGGACTTGTCTATGGTATTTGTATGCTTATCGAAATTATGATATACATAAAAATCGTTCTTCTTGGTCCGTGGCGGCCGTTTATTTACCTACGGAGACTACGTTTGATTGGTACTTCATATGTGCCTATTGGTCTGTTATGTTTCTCACTACAAATGCTCTGGGCGATCTCTACCCGGTGACTACAGCTGAAAGAGTCACAGCTACGGCAGCTATATTAGTTGGGTTTTT